CACAGGGCTCCCGGTCATCCCCGGAGCAGCTGGTGTTGGGGCGTGATGTGCGGGGGCCTCCCTGCCGGCACTGCCCACCACAGTCCATTCGGCCAGGTCCTCGGCCCCAGGAAGGCGAGCGGACAGTGAGGACAGAGGCCACCTGTCCATGACCAGGAGCCGGCACTGGAGAGGGAGGGCAAGCGGCGCCCGCAGACAGGGACTGCGGCCGGGGGCCGGCCAGCTCAGCGGGGCGAGGCTGCCCTCTGGCGGTTGAGGGTGGTGTTGACCGCCCTGCACTGAGTCGGCATTTTTTCTGTTGGGTGGGGGGAGGTGCCAGATGTTCCCCCTTTTCTAAGCAGACGTGGGTTTCTCTGGGGGACAGATGCAAATAGTCCAGCTGTGGCAACTTCCCCAGCCCTCTGCAGGGAGGGCACTTCTTGCCGGGGTCGGCCTCGTCTGCTGCCTAACAAATCAGGAGTCGCTTGCAGGGACAGAGCGGGGGAGACCCGTCCCCAAGGCTGACTCAGGCCACAGGTCGTATAAACCCTGACATGCACGTCTGAAGGGGACGGTGAGAGTGCCACCCACTGTTGGCCCAGAGAACTGCAACTCAGCTCCACAGCCTGCGACCACCAAACAGAAGGGCCACAGACTCCCACCAAGTGTGGCGCCTGGAGGGCTGGGGCACGGGGGAGGGTCCCAGCGCCAGGGAGGGGTGGCATTTCTAGAGACCTAAGAAGGGCTGATGCCACCAACAGGAAGAAACCACCGGTCAGCGGGGTGACAGACCCCGCTCTGGACCTACCGGCCAGCTGTCCGCTCACGCCTCACCTCCGGCTGGCCAGAGCATGGGCCTCTCAGCAGCCCGCCCGTCCGACTGGAGAGTCTCCCGGACGCGCAGAACCCAGCGAGGGACAGGGGTCTGCAGGGCACAGACAAGGTCTCTGCACTGGGGCAGGCTGCTGCCGCCTGTGCCATGCTCAGGCCCTCGCCAGCGCCGCCCGCCCCACCCCAGGGCCCCCGCTCACCGGAGCCCTGACTTTTGCACAGGGTGGTCAGAGGCCCAGGGCTGGGCTCTGGAGGCGGTGCTGCGTCTCCCCTCCACACCTGCTTGCAGGGAGGCCTCTAGCGCGCCTCAGCCCCACCCCAGCGCCTCGCGGCCCGTGGGCAGGAATCGGGCTGCAGGAGGGGG